TACTTAAAAAATACTCATGTGTCTTTAAAATAGTATAAATTTTTATAAATGTATTGTATTGTATGGTATGTAAATTCGAAAGAAAATATTAAAAATTCAACTCAAAAATTATATATATTGCTTGAACACAAAAAAATCCGTGAAATATTCTAATATTTAATTATTATCGAATACGTAGGAGGTGTATCCGATACATATCCTCGAATACCTGACGAGTATCATATCCGATAAGGATACGCCGACCTCAATGAAGTACCCGTGCTTCGTAGGTAGGATGTAATTAATGCTCCGTTTAATAGAAAAGATAAAAAGTATAAGGAATACATTTTTTATCCTCTAACGAAATAAAATAAGAATGATACATTTTTATTTCTTTATTTTTGGTATGATAGATGAAAAATAAAAATAATTTTTTTTTGTACTTGATAAGAAAGAAAAATATTTTTTATTTTTTATTTTTATTTTTATTTTTTTAAAAATATAAATATATATTTTGTCATTATATTTATATATGAAATTAATATATATATATATCAAAGGATATATAGACTATAGATGAATGAGATATATTTTAATACAAATAATTAATTGTACATTCATTTTTTTTCTAATTTTTAAAGGATTGATTTTGGTGAGTTGGAAGAAAAACTCATTCATCTACTTTTTCATCATTTCTATTTTCTTTTTTTATCAAATATAATGTGGTATCTATCCCTTCAACTTTCAATCGTTATAACTTTTCATTCTCCCATTTTTTTCATTGTACCAAACCGAACATAAGAGTTCAACTCAGTCGCTTTGAATAAATTGAAATCCAAACTCAATTGGAGCACATAATTTTCAATTGAAATTTAACTTAATATTCAATGTTCAAACCCATACGTACATAGATTTTTTGACATTATTTTTTTTATTTTGTTTTACTCCCATGATGTGATTGAATAAGAATGGTTGAAAGGCTCGTGATTGAGGTAAGAGGATACGTAGTATTAAAATTTGTTAATATAATTTTTTTAAAATTAAACGGATTAAATGGGTCGTGTCATGTTATCCGTTTATTAAACAGGTCGTATTCGTGTTGAGATTTTTTACTCATTTATTAAACGTATCATATACGGATTTATATAGTTTTCACTCGTCATCCATTTAACTCGACACGTTTGACACTTCTATATTTGTACTTCGAATTTTGTGTAAATATGAAGTAGGTGTATATAATTTAGGTCTCAGAATAAAAGACAATTTTGATTCCAATTAATGTACGAGGAAGTTGTAAGTAATAGAATTTATAAATCTCATGTGACATTTGATCTTGGGCCACAATGAACGTTAACGGGCATTTCTTATCACATACAAGTTAGATGGGAAGTAGTATGAAAAAATGGTTGCTAATTTAGTTTAATTTCAAAATCTTGGTTATATAATTTAGATTGAAATGGTGTAGTTAAGGTTAAACACGTATAGTGCAAATTGGGTTGTTTTTATGTTGACTCGAAGTCTCAAAATCTCAAAAAAAAAAAAAAAAGTTCTCAAAATCTCGACTTAATCACTTGTGTATTAAAATCAAATTAAATTATCTTTTTTTCAAATATAATCGGATAGTCAAAATCACTATCTAAATATTAAATATTTGGAGTTAATCTTCCCCAGATTATCTTCATTAAGCACTCCATTTTTCAATTAATTCTCTATTTTAGATTGTAAACTCCTAAAATTTGATTTTTTATTTAGACTCTCTAAAATAAAGAGTCCAATTTAACTTTTTACATTTAGAAACACCAACTCACTCTCTTCCCTATTTTTTTTACTCTCTACTCTTGGATAAAAGTCCTGAACAAATCTAAAATCTTCACTGTCTAAAACTATGTGATTTCTCCAAAATAATTTCCGTCAAACTACACAAGCACTACAACAAAGTATGACGATTAAATTAATTCTTCTAATGGTCTCATTCCAGTCGGTTTAAATCACCATTGTTGGACTTTGACCATTAAATTAGTCTCTAATATGTGAATAGAGGTTGATATATGTTATATGCATATATCTATATAATAAAATAGAGTTGAGTTTGAATTTTGAAGATAAAGAAAGGTCTAGATCATTTTGATACAAAATATAAACGCATTCAACAGACAACGTAATTCCAACGTAAAAAGATAATTCAAATCATCTCATAAACATTGATATGACGTTTTCAATGAGTACTGAATTTTGTTTTACCGCCCAACGACGTTTTCTTTTTTAATTATCAAGGATTTTATCTTTTCTCAAATCTCTCTTCCTCATCCCTTTGTTTGCCTGAATCACGCCTCTCTCTCTCTCTCAATCTCTCACGCCTCTATCCCTGCCTTCTAAACTCATCCCCAAAATCTCTCGTGGAAATCATTTCAATCTCACTTCTGCCTCTGTCCCTACCTATTAGGTGCATTCCCACTTTCTGATTCACTATCAATGTTTAACCAACTGTTGAGAGAAAGAAGCCCACACACCTCTAATACATGTCTACTTTCTTCTCAGTGCATCCCTACATGGACAGGGACTGAAGTCGTGCTTGTTGATCTGAGTCTCTTCATTGTACGAGTAGTCCCAGTAAGTGCCTTAAAGATACATGCTCTGTGTCTTCATTTTCAACTATCATATAAATATGATCAGTATAAATGTAAGCTTCCTTTTATTTTTGTTACGAGTTTTTAGTATTTCGAAGTGTTGTGTGGTATGTTTTTTTCATTTAAGACAATGAGTTAGAACTAGGTATAAACTGAGTATCTCTTATCATTTGGTGAGCTGTTCGAATTGATATACAAAAATGGTTGAGTTGGTTATCATTGATATGAGTGAGGTGTTGATTATCACAATACACCAAACCCATCAAATAAAAGAAGCAACCCATCAAATGAAAGAATGGTTGAGTTGGTTATCATTGATATTTGATTGTATTTTGCTTCCGTTTGCTCCTACGGCTTGCATTCACAATATGATTCGGGGTTCATTGGGACCACCCACCAATGCATACTAGGTGATTGACAGAACGCCAAAGAGACGGAAAATAGTCATTGGCTCATTCGCTGAATCTAGAAACTAGCGCCTCTCTTTCCAATCTCTATCCTCCCTCTTTAGGAAGGGTGTTGGAGATTTTTTAGCTTTTTCTAAGTCGTAATAGTATTGTATACCCACATTCATTAATACACACACAGGCATAGTGCATTTAGGTGTAATTAGAGGATTTTATCCAACCCTTCTTATCGAAATTTGTACCAGTACATGCATTTTTGGTGTTTTTCTTTCTATGTTGTTGTGTTTCTGCTTGAATTCTGAAAACCATGTTTTTTGTGTTTAGTGAAAGACTTTAACCTAGCCTCAGTTGAATGTTGCAATTTATTCTGCTAGTTGAATAAAAAGTTATGCTTGGAGGTTTGTTGAATTGGATTACAGTAATGGTGACGAATATAAGAAAAATTTTATTGATTTCATTTATTACTTAAAGATTGTAACTTTGATTTGGTTCTATTAGTATTTTTTTTTTCTAATGTATTTGTATATGTGTTGTTGCTTTGGAGAATTTTTTATTCATTTTTGTTCATTTTTTACGAATACTGCAATGCCTTCAGACATGGACAATTACTAGTCATATATAAAATAACTCGATCCCTTGCATTTAGTTTCATGTATAGACAAAAAAAAATAACATTTAGTTTCTTTCATGTACAATAGCTCTCAAACTAGGTGCAATTTGATCAATAGATTAGACAAATTAGGTTGAAATGCCAAACAAGATGGGAGGTAAATGGCAAGATCAATTAAATATTCAAGTTTGATAAAATAATGGAGGAAAAATGGGAGGGAAGCAAAATTTATTCCCAAAAAAGACAAAGCATAAAATTAACTCTTCATTTTTACTTTTTAGACAGCACTATTAGAGATGTTCTAACTCGCCAAACATTTGGGGAATAGGTTATGAAATTCCCAAAAGAAAAAATCACCACTTCCCTGCACTTAAACTAATGATATTCTGATTACATATCTATAATCTAAATTCTTTTTTTAATTCTTTTTTGCCCCATCTTGTGATATTAAAGTAGAATGAACTAAACATTGCCAGTAAATTTAATGAACCTCTTAGTGAGTTTTATAAGTCCAATTAAGACCAACAAAATCTAAAAAATTTAACAATGGTCAAATTGAACTCAAAATGATAATATAAAATATGAGCGGATTTAAATTAGTATGTGGTGGGGGTGATCATGACAATAGTGTCACGCGATCGTGACAGAGGTGGTGGTGGTGGTGTCCGCATGGTGATTGTTGGTGGTGGTGGGTTGGCGATGATGGCTATTGATTATTTTTATGCCAGTTAATAAATTTAATTCAACTTGTAATGACTCAATTTCTTTTCATCAATTTTGTTAAATAGTCTAAAAACTAGTCTGAATTAAATTCCACTCAATATAGGCACATGGAAGAATGAATTAAGATAACGTAAAGCTAACTAATGATAAATCCATTCAGTGTCCCCTAGACTAAACATTTTTGTTCTAGTGACCCAAACAAGGGGAAAAAAAAAAAAAGAAGAAAGAAACTAATTAGGAGGGATTAGTTCTTCAGAATTTTCTTTGCGCCCCAGGAGATTGCCCAAAACCTGCTTCCCACGATCTTGTACCTGCTTTAGAGAAATTTTTATTAGTCTTGCACCCAAGAAATAAACTGTTTTACTTTGGAAGAGAGAAGAAATATACATAAACTAGCAATATGCCCTCCACCTTAAGACACTCTATAACCTAGATATTGTAATGAATGATTAATTGCCCTAGAAGCAAACTATATTTACATGGTGAAACTATGTTAAGGAGAAAAACTCACGTCTTAGGAGAAGAATGAACCCAGTTCTAACTTCATGTATTGTTTTGAAATATCTTATGTTTTACGATTATTTGAATTTAAATCAAAATCATGATGCTTCCACGGGGTAAAGAAGGAGTTATCAACTTCTAAGAACGACATGAATGTCGAGTAATCAATATTCAGGCTTGAATCCTCTTGATCACGATTCATCATCCTCCACTGTTGTAGTTGAAGTTGTTGTATTTCTTGTTGTTGCTTTTGCCATTGCTGGAACATCCTTGAAAAACTCTCTTCAGCAAGTATCGCCTTTCTTTGTTGTGCTTGTTGTTCTTGTTCTATTTGCAGCTGCAACATCTGCATCTGCATCTGCATCCGCTCCCAGTGTTATTGCAGCTTCATGCATATGTAATCCGTCCTGAGGAAGTTTTCCATGATCAAAAGCTCCAAACTATTACTATAATCACTCTTTGTGTGTGTAAATAATTTGCCTCGGTTAGTGTATTGGAGTATTATATATAGTGTTAAATTAACTATGAGTACACCTAGGATTAGGACTATCTAGTTCTAAGTTATTGGCTTATTGAGTATAACTAGGATTAGGACTATCTAGTTCTACGTTTTTGGCTTGTCGAGTATAACTAGGATTAAGAGAGGACTTTGTGTTTCGATCTAAAACTGTTTTAGATTTAGATGCCATCCATAATAGGAGTCTGAGTCCCACTTGATGGAGAAAAATTTGTGTTAAACGGTTATCTCACGTTATTATGTTGATATGGTATAATTGTTCAATAATAAACAACATGTGGGCAAGTTGGGGTAACTGTTCATACATGTCATGTGGTAATTACCTATGAGGGACTCACTTACCCATATATTGTTTTATTATTTGACGGTTACATCTTGCCATTACACCCAATATTTACTCCACCTGATGACTACACCCAATGTTATAGGAAACAAAAAATTATTGGGGTGCATCCTATCAATGACTGTAATTGGTTAGCCACGGGACATGTATGCAAGAAAAACAATATCGTTGTAATATTTGATTATCCATGTGCACTCACTATTTAGTCGGATTATATTTTACATCACATAGAATTTACATCTAATTACTATTTTAAACTATCCATTAAAACGATCATGCGTTCAAATTTTAAGTTATGTTTCAGTTAAATCTTTATGTCCAAAACCCAAACAATGGATTTACAAAAAAAAAAAGATTACTTGAGCATCTCACGTCTCGATTAGAGGATTAATTTTGAGCAAGATGACATCACATTAAAACATGGTCTTCACATTGCATGGATTGACCCTTTTATTATGGGTTGGAGCTCATAAAAAAATTCTTTTTTTTTTTTTAGACACTCTATCTTTAGATAATATTTTACAGACCATGAAAGTGAATAGAAGCAGAGAAGATGGAGAATTTGAAGCGGGGCAACCGTTTGATGCTCTTCTCTCTTTTCGGTGAGACCAAGGCCGGCCCATATGCAAGGCCACTAAAGCACAGGTTTTAGCTCCAACTAATGGTAAGTTTGGTTAGAAGGATTACAAATAAAAGAAATGAAAAAGTAAAAATGATGAACTTTTTATAGAAGGTGGCGGGACTCCTGTATGGATTCTCAACTCCCAGGGTGACACGTGGCCCAATAAAGTCATTAGAATGTCTGAAAGATGCCAAGGGGGTGAGCCAAGGCATGGCGACACAGAGTGGCCAAGTACAACAGCTGACATCATAATCAAAGCGATGTGACCTCGCATTTATAGCGAAATGACTGATAGTGACAAGACAAATAAATGTGAGGCTGCCGCCAACTGCTCTCTACAAGTCTATGCCTACTGACATGATGGTTGGAGCATTAATGACTGATACGCCGAAACAACACGATTGATTCTCCTGAGTTCCCTGATTCGCCGAGTAGTCCGTGCTCTGTTGGTGTCAGACACCAACCTCTTGGATTGGGCTGCTCGACTCGTAGTATAAATGCTCAGCTTGTGGCCAAACATTTACACCATTCCCCTAGCATTCAATTGGAGGAGGCGTAAAGGGGAAGCATTCACAGCACGAGGGATGGTGTGTCAGATGTGAGATGTCCAGATTGACCCGAAGATTTAGAGCAATCATTGTTAATTCAAGTATAAATATCCCTCAGAAAAATGAACAAAAGGACGCAAAATCAAACCAGAGCACATCTACTAAGAAACAGCCCTTCGATCTTACTGACTTAAGCTTCGGAGGGGATCCGTTGGACTCACGTTTGGCCTCCTTTCTTCTAACTCCATCTTTTCAGGTTCGCTAATCAAGGGATCGCTACCTTACAAGATTGCAGGAATTATCCGTGCAACTTGGCGCTGTCTATGAGAATCGAAAGCATTGCTAAGTTTTTCGGTGGCAATCGTTTGATGGTGAACATTCGATCTCAGGGTGAGGGAGCAGGTGTACGGGACAGGAATGCAGATCCCGTCCGGCTTCCAATGGTCTTGGAGCTGGGTTCATTAGGCCAATCAGATGGGCAGGTGCACTCGTCGCTAAGAATGCTCCCTATGGATCAGTGCCTTGGGGGGCGTGACCTCAGGGCCCATGACATTGTGGAGATAGTGGAGAAGCGGATGGCCAAACGTATTAAGCAGCACAAGAGGGAGAACGCCAAGGTCCTACAATGCCTTGACAATTTTGAGCAGTCAGCAAGCGCGATAAACGCTGTCGCGGGGTCGGGGACCAAGTGCCCAGCCAGAGCCTGTCCAGGCCCCCTCGGCATGGGCCCTCCGAAAAGGAATGGGTTAGGCACACGCCCGAGGGGCGGGACCACCAAGGAGGGTCCTCGGACTTTAAGGGACGGTCAGAATCGGGTCAAAATGCGGACCTATCCAAATGGGACCTGCACCGAAGGATACCTGAGGGCATTGGAGCCGCCAAATCTCACGCGGAGTCCATACCCCGAAGGCCTCGTGGAGATAGATCAGCCAGAGATCCCCAGGTCCTCTTCGTTGCTCAGCGCGACAATGAACCCACGGTTTACTCTGACGAAGTTATTTCGTCGTTCGTCCGGGCTGTTAGGGAGGCCGAAATGCCGAAAAAGTTTACCATCCCACGGTTTAAGGTATACGATGGAAAGACCGATCCTGAGAGCCATCTTTGGCAATACAAACAATTGATGTCAATCTATGACACTGACCAAAGGGTGCTGTGCCGAGTTTTTTCCATGAGCCTCAGGGATACTGGCATGAGGTGGTACGAGAACCTTGCCCCCGAGAGCATAGAGTCCTGGAGACAATTGACAGGGCTTTTCTTAGCCCGATTCATCACCAACAGCAAGAAGCCTAAGGACATTGGCGCTTTGTTGACGCTCAGGCGAAAAGGGGGAGAGATGCTCCAATAATATGTCGTCCGATATTGGGATGAGGTCAATGAGGTGGAGACATGTACGGAGACATTGGCCGCGGCGTCATTCAGGTTGAGGCTGTCCTGAGACACAGATTTGTACAAATCATTGACCAAGAAGGTTCCACCAGACATGAAAGACTTGATGGCTCGGATAAACAAGTATGCTCGGGTGGAGGAAGAGTCCGTCGCGCCCGAAAACAGGGTGACGATGCCGAGAAAAAGGGAAAGGGAGCAACCGTCCCAGAGGGGAGGGCCAATCCCACTCCCGAGTCGTCTATCCTTTCAGGGGTAAGCACGGTGTTTAACGAGCCCATTCACAAGATACTCCCCAAAATCAAAAACAAATCGTACTTCAGGTGGCCCCTGAGGATGCTTGGCGACCCGTCGACAAGGAATTCGACCCTCCGATGTTCATATCATAGAGATGTCGACCATTTGATGGAGGAGTGCAACAGTTATAGGTCCTTCTTAGAGCGGTTGGTGCAACAGGGGCACCTTGGGGAGTTCATCGACAAGGGCCGGCCCGGGCGGTCGACGGGGGAACGAGCTGAAGGACCAGCTGAGGCAGCACCCGTGATCGACATTATCCATGCCTGCACGGTGGAGCGGCCCACATACAACTCCCTCTGCTCCGAGTTGCAGAGGATGTCCCAGGCAATCAAGGTGGATGAAAGGAGGGACGAACGACCGCCCAAAAGATCTCGGGGCGCTGCCGAGGTAATCCAATTCTCCGATGCTGATCTCGAAGGGGTGGTCTTCCCCCACGAGGATGCATTGGTGATCACGTTGCGGGTCAGAAAATTCGACGTTAAGAGGATATTGGTGGACTCGGGCAGCTTCTCCGAGGTAATGTACAATCACCTTTTTCACAAGATGGGACTCTCTCAGAAGGATTTGGAACCCATGAAGACTCCCCTCATCAAATTCAACGGTTCCAGTTCCCTGCCTCTTGGAAAAATTACTCTCATGGTACGGGCGGGGGCGGTGACCATTCCAGTAAAATTTGTGGTGGTAGACTCCGACTCCCCGTACAACGCAATTATGGGGAGATCATGGTTGTATGCACTTAAGGCGATCCACTCATCCTACCATCAGAAGATAAAGTTCCGAACACCACAGGGCGTAATGGAAATCCGGGGTGACCAGGCCTCTGCAAAAAGCTGCTTCTACGTTGCTGTCCAAACGAAAATAAGCAATCGGAGTCAGGAGCGTGATCCCGATGCGGTGATTGCCAAATAGCAATCACAAAACAGTCGGCCAAGGGTGGATGAGCCCATAACAGAGCTTGCCAACTGCTCCACCGAGGCCTTGATAAAGGTTCTCCTAAACCCTGATGATAGCGAGAAATACTTCTTGATAGGGGAATCACTCAGCGGTGCAGAGAAGGACAATATGACCTCATTTTTACGCCACAATGCCGATGTCTTTGCTTGGATACAGGCCGAGATCACGGGGATAAGTGTCGATGTGATGACCCATCGACTCCATGTCAACCCCTCATTCAAACCCCGTCAAGCAAAAGGCCCGAAGAACAGTGCCTCATCATGTGAAAGCTATGGAAGAAGAGGTGAAAAAGTTGTTGGGAGCAGAGTCCATCAAGGAGGTGCAGTTCCCCCAATGGTTGTCTAATATCGTGTGCGCCAAGAAGAAAGAAGGAAAATGACGAGTCTGCGTGGATTTCACGGACCTAAACAAGGCTTGCCCTAAGAACGAGTACCCTTTGCCCAAAGTTGATTAGCTAGTAGACACCACGGCCGGCCACAGGCGCATCACCTTCATGGATGCTCTAGCTGGATATCACCAGATTCTCCTGCATGAGCCAGATCAGGAGAAAACGGCGTTCATCACTCCTCGGAGGATCTACTGTTACACCGTAATGCCCTTTGGGTTGAAGAATGCCAGGGTAACTTACCAACGATTGATGAACAAGAATTTCAAAGACCAGCTCGGCGACACGATGGAAGTGTACATTGATGACATGTTGGTCAAGAGCAAGGAGGAGGCTGACCATCTCCACCATCTCGGGATGAC